TCAGATAAACTGTGGAAGTTGACTGTCCCAGGTTATACGAGGTGTTTATCTGATAAGTTAGTCCTAATGATAAAACAACACTTCGTATAACCTGGGACAATCAACTCTCACAGTTTATCTGATAAGTTAGTCCTATTAATAAAACAACACCTCGTATAACCTGGGACAATCAACTCTCACAGTTTATCTGATAAGTTCGTCCTAATGATAAAACTAAGTTAGTCCTAATGATAAAACAACACCTCGTATAACCTGGGACAATCAACTCTCACAGTTTAATCAACTCCCACAGTTTATCTGAAAGAGTTGATTGTCCCAAGTTATACGAGGTGTTGTTTTATCATTAGGACTAACTTATCAGATAAACTGCGAGAGTTGATTGTCCCAGGTTATACGAAGTGTTGTTTTATCAATAGGACGAACTTATCAGATAAACTGTGGGAGTTGATTGTCCCAGGTTATACGAAGTGTTGTTTTATCATTAGGACGAACTTCAGCAGGCTTTGGAGCAGCTCCAAGAAACGAAGCAACAAGTTGAATACGGAGAACTTCTTAGGTCTCGACTTGTGGAAGACTTTAAAATATTAACGAAACAGAAATCTCAAGTCCAGGCTGATCTGATTGAAACCAGAAGTCAGCTGAGAGAGGTAATTTTACCTTTCTTCACGTAACAATTAGAAATGGAAGCTTATAGGTTTGTAACAAGTCACTCGAGGTTTCGAGAAAATAGCAGAACAAGGCTGAAGTTAGCTAATTTTTTGGTAAGCCAGACATTAACTGAAAATTTTAGATATTACCTAAAGACGTTAGGATAGGCCTAAAGACGTTTTATGAAAACTGTAAATATATTAAAACACAAACTCTGCAGATGATCAATTACACAGATTCAACTACTGAGAGTTAGAATTATAAATAAATCAAGAAATAGCAATAAGTAAACAATTTTTGTGAATTAAAACAGTGTACTTTGCTTCCTTGTGTCTTATTATGTAAGATGTTACAAACCACCAATAAACCATTTAGGAAAAGGAGGTTCGAGAGTCATTACAGGTGCAACACACGGACCTCATAAGTGACGTTTCAACCGCTAGGGGTCGCGAATGTCTGCTCACTAAGACGATCGAAGAGAACAAAATTTCTCTGGCTCAGGAAAGAGAGAGAAACAGACGTTTGTTTGTGGAGGTAGGAACACTGTTTAACCTCAAGGGTAAAATCTGAGAGTTCGTTGTATCCAATCTACAGAATCAATACAGACGTTGTTGTAGTACGTTGGTATTTGTAGTGGTTTAAAACATAACATGTGAAGTGTGGTGAGATCAATTAAACAGTTGACATTTGAAGTGTGGTACATCAATTAAACAGTTGACTATGAAGTGTGGTGACATCAATTATAAAGTTGACATGTGAAGTGTGGTGACATCAATTATAAAGTTGACATGTGAAGTGTGGTGACATCAATTAAACACTTGACATGTGAAGTGTGGTACATCAATTAAACACTTGACATGTGAAGTGTGGTGACATCAATTAAACAGTGAAGTGTGGTGACATCAATTATAAAGTTGACATGTGAAGTGTGGTAAGATCAAT